CCATAGTGCGTCCGTACTGGTGACTTTTGCGGTGAGAGGGATGTTTAGATGCTCTCTTCTAGTAGTATTATAGTAGTATTATACTATTAGTATTATTAAATATAAATTAATAATTTATTAATATAATGATTAGGAGTTACTTTGATATTTATATTTTTTTTTTACTAAATCAATCTATGATCATTCATTACGCTGGCATCTCTCATATTCCATTGAAAAAGCAAAAAAAATAGTTTTAGTCACTTCTAAATAAAAATTATACCCCTCTGCACCATTTTTTTCTTTTTACAATAATGCATCTCTACATTTCTACTAGTGTGAACTAGGGTGGTAGTATACATAAATAGATTTGAACTATTTGATTAAATAAGATTAATAAGCAGATAGTACCGTATTGGGGCTATTCCGGTGAAAGCTTTCAGGATCTTCTGTCTGATCTTATCGTGAGTAGGAGGTTGAAACTTTTCTCTCCCTGAACAAGTTATTAGGAACCAAATTGAAGGGGTGCCCCTTTACAAGCAATGTTTTACTCAGTAGTGATATTTTTGGCAACTTTTCACGTCAATAGTTCATCATGAGTAACGACGGGAGACAAAGCCCAAAAGGATATAGAGACCAAAATAAAAAAGTCACAGTGAACTAGTGAAGGAGAACTTCGTAATCACCAAGGATAACAGGTAGCAAAATACATAATCTAAGTTGTCCACATCAATATTCTCATGCCGTACAACAAGAGGGGAATAAAAATAATTCATTTTCAACTAAAAACTAAAACAAAAACAGAACAAAATAAATTCATCAACTTCAAGTTCTCCAAAATCACAATTCAATGTTTAAACCCTAACATTGCGATCTTAAAGCAAATGCCAATTAAGAGCATAATCACATAATCCATTCCATATCTATCAGACTGGAGGGTTTCTTCTTTTGTTAATCAGCACTAGTTAACAGAGAAAAATCATAAAGGGAAGGGGAAGGGAGAGTAGAAGGCCAAACCTTGTGGCATCCTTGGATACTGAGGTCGTGAGCTCGTGAGGGACAACAGTCGCCTCACAAATTCCGGTAAAGCCAAGCTAGCCGGCGGCGGCGAGGGCATCTACTCTCGATGGAGGGTAAGCCATGGAGGCGATGAACAGGAAAGCGAACAGGCGTCGGGTCGCAGCAGCGATTGAAGCGGTGTGCATCCCGAGTCCCAATCCTCGTATTGTGTGCATTGCGCGCGGCGTGGCCGTGGGCGTCGCAGGCTCACAACCATGATTGGGCCGCACATCTGTGAGCTTCTTGGGCTTAGCAAGTTTGCCTTCACGCTCGAGCTCGTGATATGAGCGGTACACCAACATGGGCTTAGGGGGTGCCTGTACGGTGAAGTCTTGATGGTAATCACTAAAATTTTTTTTGGACCCAGGTTCCTGGGCACCCTCCTCAGCCCATTGGGCTCCGCCCCTGATTAGGCAGGCATCTTTTCTTCATAAAATATTGTATGGAATTCTTCTCGAAGCTATAAAATACCACATCACACGGGCAATGGATTTTATGCCTCCACATGCATTTTCAAGGGTTTATTTTGGTGGAAAAATAATTTTAGGTTGGTACTAATATTGTTCATAGCAACATTTAATGTTTAAGCTGGTAGAGGTGACACATTTTTATTTTCGAAAAATCAAAGGGGTGATAAAGGCGTGCTCAATGGTAGAGTCACTTTTAGACAATATAAAATTATTTTATTACTATTATTTTTTTTCACCCTCATGTAACTATGTTTTTATTTTATAGAGCCTAAGACTTGATGTAGCGCTGTTGTTAATCATACCAATAGTGTTTAATTAAGCTCTCTTCTCTCACTGTTATGCTAGCAAATATTCTTAATTAGTAAGGCTAAGAACCTATTAGTGACCATCGTACATACCCTAAGGTTTTAGAGTCTGCTTTTCATATATACTTGATCTATTTTCATATGTTGCGAAAATGTAGACATCAGGCAATGGTATTTATCCAGCAACAAGCAGGATGACTTATATCATGACTTACTTTTGAAGTTGAATGACTTATCTGATTCCCAAGAGAATGATGTTCAGACATACACCCTCTGTAAAAAAAGGACAACTTTTAGGATGAATTTAGATAAATGTTTGTCCAGGTTTATCATCCGAAGTTGGTATTTTATGGAACGAGGAGAAGTACCTATGAGACTCAAATCAATATAGGTCAAAGAAAAGTGTAGCTCCTTGTATTTTGCACGCCTCGGGCCACCCGTGCTGTCACAATGATTTAGAAAAGCAAGTGTACAGTGAAGATATAAGTTGTTTCACTACTGCTGATGGATTGGTTGAATACCATATATTGCAAAGACGATTATACTGCAAGCTAGATGGATCAAATTGTGCCGTGTGTAATAATTCAGTGCTGGAAGATATTAGTCATTTGTTCTTATTTTCATGTCCCTTTGCAAGACAATGCTTATATGTCTAGGAATACTTTGGGATGCATCTTTGGAATTCATAAATATGATACAATCAACAAAGTTAAAGGTCCCTTTGAATCACAGGAATGAAAAAACGGAGAAATAGGAAAAACACAGGATTCTGACAATGCAACAATAAAACATAATATTGCAAAACACAGAAAAAACATATGAATGACTATTCAATTGGGCCATAAAAAAACACAGAAATTTGAGGTGAGATAAAGACTCAAAGTATTATTTTCATGAGGTTCTACCTCATATTAAATTTTCTCCAAAACATGTATAGGAATATGCATTCCATAGAAATTTTATAGGATTCCATAGGACTCATTCCTTTTTTTCAAAGGACTATATAGGAAAAAATTTATATAGGAATAAAATCCTCTAAAAATCCTATGAATTTCCTTTCAATCAAGGGGACCTAAATTTTGTTCATCCATCAAGGGGACCTAAATTTTGTTCATCCATTCTTTGTCGAGGTAATTGGAATAGCCTACAGAATCTATGGACCCGAAGGAATGATATATTTTCAACATTTCAATTGTGGAAGAAAAGCTTTAAGGATTATTTTACTCTACATATCCATAGAGCAAAGGATGTAAACAAACCATCGTGGTAATCATGACTTAACAATCTTAACATAATATCTCTATATAATAGGTGAGTTTCGTATGATAATAAGTATAAATAATTTGTAAGATATCTAAACGATATAAGCTTACATAAGTTGATGTGGTTTATGATAATTTAAATAATATATAAAATGATGATCCAAATGTAAAAGTAATGTGATGTGGTTTTATGAGAGAAGAAAAGGAGAAAGATAATTTGGACCATATATTATTATCTAAGGGTTAGAAACAATTGACGTGATATCACTTAATGAAAGAAGAAAACAATAAAAATAATTAGGACCATAGATTAATCATCTAAGGATATAAAAAAAACAACAGGTTAATTGGATCCATACTATTATAAATTTGCCAGTTTTGAAAAATGCCATTATAATTCTCATAATTGAAACGATACCATTGCAACTACCCTTAAATTGGAACCATACCATATTATACCTTTTTTTGTCTAATGTATTTTTATATGGACCAACATACCCCTATGTTCTTCCTTCCTCTCCCTTCTGTTCATCTTCTCTCCATAGCTTCCTCCATTGATGCAGCAAGTGGAGTCCCAGAAGAGGAGCAACGAGAGAGGAGCGACGACGGCATGGTTGGGGCGTGCTCTATAGATGCAGCAAGTGGAGTCCCAGAAGAGGAGCAACAAGAGAGGAGCGACGACGGCATGGTCGGGGCGTGCGCCGGCGCCGCCGCTGGGGCTGGGCCAATCCCCATCGCGGTTCACTACTCTTCCTCCTCCTATCACTACACCAGACAAGGCTACCTGTGACGGGCTCAAACTGTCACCTCTGACGGATTTGGCCCTGGTCAGAGATAAGTGGTCACTGATGACTCTCCTCACCTTTGATGGGTGAAGGTCCGTCAGTGGTGATTAACACCTATGACGGACCATATATAAAACCCGTCACAGGTGACTATTATCTCAAACGACATATTAGTTTGTGACCCGTCAGTGATGTCTTTAACCCAACAAAAAAAAATTGAAAGACATAGCGTGCAACCCGTCACTGGTGTGAAAAACCTAGCCAAAAAAAATGACGCACGCTGCCATGGTGGTGCTCGTTGTCACAGTTGCTTTGCTCACACAAGAAATTCAAACCGATAGATCTCATATAGCACACATTCATAGAAGTCATATAGCACACATTCACACAAAGGGGATGGCAAGAATTTCTCAATCCACATACAACAATATAATATCAATGCAAACCGAGAGGATGGCGGCCATGGCGAGGGACGATCGGGAGGTGGAGGCGGCAGTGCCCTCTGGTGGGAGGCGCATCCGGCTGCCGGAGCGAAGGGGAAGCAGAGCCGGCGTCCGACGGTTGGGAGGCGGCCGCGTTCGGCGGCCCGGGACGTGAATCCACGTCCCCCGACCTTGTGGAGGCGGGATCCGGTGGGGGAGGCGGGGGAGGCGTCCGGCAGTCAGTGTGGGAGGCGCTGGCGGCCGGATCCGGCTTCCCAGAGGCCAGATCCGGTGTCCGACGGTGAGGAGCGGCCGCTTCCGGCGGCTGGGATGCGGATCCACGCCCCCCGACCTCGTGGAGGCCGGATCCGGTGGGGTAGGTGGGGGAGGAGTCCAGCAGTCGATGGGGGAGGCGCTGGCGACCGGGACGCGGATCCACGTCCCCTGACCTCGTGGAGGCCGGATCCGATGGGGGAGGCGGGGGAGGAGTCCGGCAGTCGATGGGGGGAGGCGTTGGTGGCCAGATCCGGTGTCCGATGGCTGGGGGCCGGCGAGGCGTGGGAGGTGGAGGTGGCCGGCGGTCGAGAGGCACTGAGACGTGGGAGGTCGAGAGGAAGTGTAACGCCCCAGGTAGACACGTACATGGAGTGCCACACTAAAATACACTCAAAACCACTAACTCCCAAAATTATTAGAAATTTCGGCAAAGTCTCCCCTATAAATGTGGACATCCACGACAAACAGTTATAAATTGAACTAATAATAATATTATTCCCACAGAGTGATCCATCCATATAACCCATGGAAAGAAACTAAAAGATTATTACAAGACCGAACCATGATATAGTTTAAGTATCATTATGGACCTAGGCAATATAGTTTGATAGTGTGCAGATAAATGTGTAGATAAGAGTGCTACTTCCCGCCCATGCATGTCAGTCTCACTGCGTACCTAAAACCAAATAAAACACAATAGTGAGTATAGAAATACTCAGCCAGAACAATATGGAACTAGAAAACATATATACATATCATTGGCAATAAAGCATAAACAGAAGACTTTCTTTCTTTGATAGGAAACACATTTTCAAACACAAAGTCAAAGAAGATAGTAGTTTCCATCCCGGGCAGACATGAATTGAAATAGTAGTTCCCATCCCAGGCAGGCATGAATTGAAATAGTAGTTTCCATCCCGGACAATAGTGAATACATCCTAGCATTTGCCGGCAAAGCCGAGTAAGCGTGATCAGCGCTTACCCATAGGAACTTGAATAAAGAACCAAATTGCACTCCCATGACTACGCATGGTACTTGAATAATTGAAACCGGAATCAAAGAACCAAATTGAAACCATATTGCACATCCATAGCAAGCAGGGAACATGAATTATTTAAGCAGAACCAGAATCCAGAATATTAAAACAAGAATAACATCGTACACATAAGATCAACTTGAAATCTAAATGGCGTGAACAATAATATGAACATAAGCAGTTAATTATCACGTAGAAATATATCAGAAACAAATAGATAGAGTAAACAATCCATGAATAACTCAATTTGTTCGTCATGCAACCCGACGTAACACTCTCCACACCGGATCTCTCCACACATGCGGAGTAAAACTACGCACAAACCACTATATTCAACTAACGGTAGTTACAAGGGGTATTTACTAAAATCGACACATATAACATATAAACTTTTTACCGATTGTATTAAACAACCTATAGCAGTTCTATTACTGTTTTATGCGTAACTAGCAAACCGTCTAACAGAATCTAGCAATTAATACAACCTCGGACATCTAGGCAAAATTGTCTACAGCTTTCATGTTAAGCACAACATCAGATTATGCCTCTGAAAATCCCAGATTAAGGAAAACGAATTGTTGTCCTGATTTCCGGACCCGGTCAGCAGTACTGTTTCTATTGTTTCTCCTAAACCGTTTATCGGAATCGAGCGAAACCAGCGGCGTTAGAAAGATATCGGCGATGACTACAAACTTTATATAGAACAACTAATCTGAATCCTGATAGTTTAATACCAGATTTGAAAAATACTATTATCAGCCTCTAATCAGCAAATATGAAAACACTCAACCGGCAATTTAATCTATTCCCACGTGAAAATTGTATTTCTATGGACCAAGAGGAGTTACCCTTGCAGAGGAGAAAAATCAAATTTGAGGTCAATTTGTGAAAACCCAAAAAATCCCCGACTTTTGCCTCTCTTCCCTTTTTTTTCCCTTCTTTTCTCCTCCTGCTTTCCCTGCTTCCTGAAACTTCTCTCTGTTCCTTCAAGAAGCACAGCAGCAGACCAGCATCAGCAGCAGCAGCGAGGAATATCATATCGATGGCAGCAGCAGCAGCAAGGATTGGCGGCAGCACTCACCAAGAAGGAGCCGAGCAGGAGTGGCGTTGGACGGCGATGGGTGAATCTGCTGCGACGGCGCAACGACGGCAGCGGCAACAAGGGCACACGAGGCGGCGGCTAGGGTTAGCTGCTAGCGTTGCCCTTTTTTTTAATTTTCTTTTTTTTCTATTGGTTAAATAGAGAGGCTACTAAATATCGAACGGCTCACATTAATTCAATCCCCGGGACTTTGTTCGGACTCCGATTACTATAAACTTATTTTGCACTACTCGGCGACCTCTACACATCCACGGTTCCTGATCACCTATTCAAGCAACGGTTTAAAAGTTAAACTTTTACGCATTTGTTCTAATATTTCTCGAAATACACTAATTTGAAACTCTGGGTATTACATGAAGAAGAGAGAGGTAGAGGTGGGAGGTCGGGAGGAAGTGAGAGAGAGAGTTGAGGAAGAGGAGAGAGTGGTGGGGAGGAGGAAGAAAGAAGAGAAGAGGAGATAAGGCCGAGAGGTGGGTGGGTGGTGGGCCCCTTAGGTAGGTGGTAGGGGTTTCTTTTTTTTTTTTTAAGTCACCAGTGACATGTATAAAAATCCAACACGTTTGAGGTGAGGTATCTCACCTGTGACGGGTTACAAACTTAAAACCCGTCACAGGTAAGAGGTCATCAGTGACGGGTCTATATGTAGACACGTTAAAGATGTTGTGTGTCGGGTCCTTATATAGATCCGTCACAGATGAGTGCTTACGTTTGACGGGTTATTTTCTTGAGCCCTATCTATGATATGGTTTATTGTAACCCGTCACATATGAGGTTATCTCTGACAAAACACTTTGGTCCGTCACTGATAGGCCGTCACAAATGGGCCGATATGGCGTAGTGCTGTATATTCTGGTGTTGTGGCCATTGGTCTCGTATGAATCCATGCCCACCGCGACGAGCTTGTTGCCGTAGCTCGCAGCCGGATACAACGCAACTTGTTGTCGTCGCTGGGTCAGCTCTCCGCTGCACCAAGCCGCTACAGGACCCGCCATCTCCGAGACCTTTCCGCCGCTGCGACGAGCTCGCTGCCGCCGCTGGGAGTAGTGATCTCGTGTATCGCTACAGGAGAGAGGGACGCGTACAGGGCAGAGCGACGAGCGCCGCCAAATCCTAGCCCCTTGGCTCCATCGTCGTCGCATCCATGCCCCCTCGCGTGAGTGGTCATCAGCCGCTTGCCCGTTTGCCTGGACTTGTCTGGATCTGCGCGCCCGATCTGCCGGAAACTGCCGCTGGAGAGAGAAGCGCTAGCTGAGTCCCGGAGCAACGCTCGACGCCAGCGAGAGGGACGCCGAGCTCCGCCACCAGGGAGAGCTCCTGCTTGCCGAGAGTGAGAGAGAGAGAGCGTGTTCATGCTGTTCTACCCAGGAAGACAGGGAAGGTTGAAGATGAGGGCATTTACGACAAATGTATGTAAAATATGTATATCGATGGCATCATTAACCGAATTGTAATGACAAATTTTAAAACAGGCAAATTTATAATGGCATGACTCTAATTAACTCAAAAATAATTGATATGATATTGCTTATAACATTAAGTAAGTGTGGAGAATGATAAGGTATATAGGATATTACGAAAAATGATGGAAGAATATATTTAAATATTATGTTAATTATGCGGGATAATGATTTAACATTATTGTATTTTTAAGTTCTAAAATTTAATAAATTATAGATAATATAGTATGCTTACATGAGATTTAAGATGTAATCATGCTTGTGACATTTTGCAAACTGAGTTTCTTTTTGAATTATACATTACAGCGCAGATACTCACAACACACGCACACTCATCCCTATGAACACATGCACGTAAACCCAACCCCTATTAGCATCTTCGAAGACTGGCCGGCAAATCCTGGAGATTGACGAAGTCACCACAGGCGCCTCGCTATCGATGGGTACGTCGCCTACCACTGAAAGGACAAAGTCGTTAAATCCTGAGGAATTCGCTCCCATAGGAAGTCAAACCCCCAAGATTTAATTAAGGTGCTACTGAGGCTCTGGTAACCACTAAGTTATACCCTTTCGCTTGCACATTGAGTTTTAGGATTTAGTGGGGTATTAATATGATAATGTGCATATATATTTTATTGAAATAGTGGTGTGGAACCCTTCTGTTGTTTCTCGTAAAAATAACAAGCATATATAAAAGACTTCACGAGAACCATTTCCTCCGATATGTTTAAAGAGTAAATTACATTGGTAGTACACAAACTTATTAGATGGGTGTAACTTAGTATATAAACTTATAAAATGCTTGTTTCTATACACGAACTTGTCTAGTTCGTGTGGACAAGGATCAAAATAGTCTGGCAATGTTAATTTTACGAAACTGATATTGATTAGGATGTGACGTGCATACGTGTAGTGAGTGTATATAAGACATGCAATATTCATAAATGTGGTCTCTACTTTATCCTTCATCATGGAAGTGATGAATTTCATATATTTCTAACCCTTATATCATTTGCTGGATTTTTTTATTTTTTTCCATCACTATATCCATTCTATTTTTATTGAAGATGTGTATATCTAATAGCAAACCTTCTCATATGTATATTTACATAGTATCCTAATGAGCCCCTAAATTAATAAGATTAGCCATGTTGTGTCCTTTTTGCATTCCTCCGCACACACCAGATAAGTTCATGCACCAAAACGAGCATTTTATAAGTTTGTGCACTGGATTACACCCATCTGACAATTTCGTGTACCAGCGATGCAATTTAATCATGTTTAAAATAGCTAGTACTCCGTTTTCTGCAGGTGTGCGCTGCTGCGGCTTTACAGAAGAGTGAAGGCAGGCAATTATAGTTGTGTAGAAATGCACCATAAACAAGAAAAGTCATTGTTGCTAGCCGATAATCGGATTAGTAATCACCACTAGTTATTGAATTAAGAATGACGAGCTCGTTGACTCAACTCATTAGAAACGTGATGGATTTGGCGACTCATAAATTAATTTACTCTGCAGTACAAGTGTACAACTGGCTTTATTAAATATTTTACAAGTGTCAGATACACGGAGAAGAAACATGTATTCATATGCAGTACAAGAGTAAATCATGCACGATCTCGAAATCCTGATCGAGCCAAAAGTATCTGCCACTAGTATAATTGTTAGGACAATTAACCCACCTCACAAATCACCCAACACAAGCTCTGAATTCATGGTTTTTTTCACACATGAGCATGCCTACATACCAAACCATTTCAGATCATCAGCCTGACAGCATTTCAGCAGCAGGCCCAAAACATCCCCAAGAAAATCACCTGGCGGCTGCACCCAGAAAATCACCTGGCGGAATTTTGCAGAACCCTGGATGAGATCTGATCATCGGTAAAGTATCATCCGACACCGACGACTTTCCACCTCTTGCCACGCCACAACACATGGGCTCTCGAGAGTTTTGAATAGTTTTCCGATTTCTAGTTACCTGGTTTCACGTAACTAAGAACGGAGTAAACTGGCTGGATCACCGTGCAAAAGAAAATCTTTTCTGAAAAAAAAAAGAGAAAAAAAGAGGGAAAGGTATGGTTATGAAATAATAATAATAATAATAATAATAAAGTTATGCTCTATCAAGTATGAGTACGATATTGAAAAAAAAATGTAGCCATGCCCTGTAATCAATAAAAGAAGGATTTTGGGAGAAGAAAGTAAGCACAAAGGAGAAGCATTTTATTTATTTTCTTCATGTATCATTTCCACCATATATCCCGCACACACTTCGCACGATCTTGATCTTGAGTATATTTAGTTATCTGCTTTAGTCTAGGTTTTTGACTTACTAATAAATGTGAATGCAAGTATGCCATGTTTGATCCCTACCGAGCTCCACATATCAAATCTTAAAGTAGGAATCAAAAAGACAAAACTGGTGAGAAATTCATGTTGATACACTTAGAGAGACTGAGTGAATCATTTGAGGAACTTAGATTTCTTTTGCAAAATCATTTGAAAACTTCCGGAATAAAAGTTGAATAAAGATTGGGTGATTGGTGCTCTAATTGCTATTTTGTCTTTCAACCGCCCAAGGGCAAGGAGAAGGAGTGTCTCATGGAAATCAGGGGTAAGGGTAAGCCACCGTGCCAAAGATTATTTAATCTAAGAGGGAGTACATATACCTTGTACCTGTACCTTTAAGATATACAGCATAGTAGCAACTCCTGATCAACAACCAAGTTTTTGTTTCCTTTCGTCCTTCACTAGGGACGAGCAAATGTTCAAGCTTGGGGGGTTTTGTTGACGGTCGTTAATGATTAGTTATGACCATCAATATTACCAAAATAGAGGAGAACTAGTTATGCTTGCAATGCGTATACATGTTAGAATAATAATATTCCACTACTATTTAGTTCACTAACCTTTTGCAGAGAATAATCATAAAATAGAGGAGAATTGACATCAAATCAGATGATAAATCAATCGGACGATGTTGAGAACAAGACTTATGTATGAATGGGCCAAGAACTCAAAATTAACACGATGAATTGGCCCAAAATTCACAAGTCTACGAAAAAGAGCAACGGAGGAGGCCACCTGCCGATTTTGGGCCAGGTTGGGCCAGCCCATGGTACGGTCGAACCATTGGGTTCGGCCGAACCCCCCGCAACGTCGTTTGATCCAGGTTTCTCCTGGACGGCTGAGATGGCTCCCCAATGACGGTTGGTGGGTATTACCGACCTTTCCAACCGTCACAACCGTCATTCTCAAGCTATAAAAGGAGCTCTCATCCTCTCTTCACTCACACACCTCAAGTAAGAGCTCTCTCATATTCTCTCAAGTTAGTTTAGTGTTATCTAACTAGTAGAATAGGAATAGAGTAGAAATTGGGAGTCCGGAAGCCTTCGAAAGAGTTCGGGTATGGCTCTAGTAGCTCTCCTTTCCTCTTTTGTAAGCTTTATACTTTATTTAGAATACTCTTCTTTATACATTTATGGTATTGAAATACTTTCCGAGTATATTAATGCCTACTTTACATTATGCTCATGTTATACTGAATATACTGCTAGCTTATCTGGGAAATTCTTTGGTGCGGGTATAATATTTGCATATGCAATTACTCTATGTCATGATGATGATATTAGAGTAGTATCTGGTAGTTTAGGCGTGGTGTCTAGATTACGGGATATCATTATTTGGGGTTATATGTTGCGGATGAGAGGTGGGCCGCTGATGGTGACAGCTCGGTACGGGTATTCCTCCGCGCGTGTATATAGTCCTAAGTTAATTTCCTGGGGAGGGTACTCCTCCGTATTTAGCCCCGGTTGTATGATCATGACAGGCTATCGTAAGGAACTCGGCAGTCAGGGGTGGCTTCTCGAAGAACCAGGAGGGCAACGGATAGAGGGTATTAGCTAGTATATCAGATGACTAGAATGTATGTATACTATGTATACTAGAAATATAGGAATAGATTC